TTTTTTTTTTTTTTTTTTTTTTTTTTTTTTTTTTTTTTTTTTTTTTTTTTTTTTTATCGCGTATTAATAATTAAAAAATTTCAGTATTACAAAAAAGAGGGGGAAAACTGTGCCGGATGAATTACTAGAATTTTACGTATAAATACTAACTTGAGACAACGCGTTGCGTCAAAAACAATTGTTTGACAATTTCAAGTAAATTATAACCGAATAGGATCCAAGTTACTGGCACATTAATAATAAAAAAAAAAAAAGTAGCCCGTTTGAAAAGAACTTATTCTTTTTCGATGGATCGTATGGAAAAGAGTTGAAAAATGCTTTTTACTTACCATTTATCACATCACGTAACATTCCTAAATTGAACAAATATGAGACAAATACACATAAAAGTATATACACATGCATGCATTCCAAGAGAGATGATGAATACGTAAATTATGCACTGAGCAGCTGTTACCCTTGTTAAAATTTCAGATAAGTAAATCATGAACGATAACATCACTAAAAGTCATAATCTTTTGACATTGACAACTCAAAAAAATATGACTAAGCTTCTTTTTCCTTGGTTACACAATTTATCATTTTCATTTTCTTTTTTTTAAATTATTTTCTTATATTAATAATAATAATAATAATAATAATAATAATAATAATAATAATGCTACATTGTTTTGTAAGACGTAAAAAAATGTTTGAGCTCACAGTTAATTGCAGACATGTCGTCAGTGGAGTTTTTAAATGTTCAGAGCAAGGAAAACAAATGAAATATAGTAATAATGATAATAAAGAAACAAGAAAAATACTTTCACTTTTGTAGAAAACACAAATGACCGTAAACTGTCGAGATTCCATTAGCACGTTAGATTGGTCCTTTTCGTCTCGGCCGTCCACGCGCGTCATCGAAACCTGTTTCTCTTTCTCGGGTGGTAGGTTGATTGTTTCTAATAATAGGCGTCAAAAGCACCAACCGAAAAAAAAAAAAAAAAAAAAGGCTTCGGCATGGAGCTCGAAGGAATCTTCGATGGTAAAAAAACCCGTACCGATTGCACATTTGGTCGGGGTCACCAGAGAAGGAGCAAAAGAGAAAGAAAGAGAGAGGCGAATTCGGCGAAAGGGGACTCGTAGGCGGGGGTGGCTGCTATATACACACGCCAAGAGAGCCCACGTACGTATATGTATATATACATTTATCGCCATACAGGTGGGGGAGTACATATATAAAAGCTGCAGCGGTGGGTAGGTATATGCACGGGAGGGGAAGAAGAAAAGCGCGTGCAGCACGAGAGTCCTCCCGCGCGACACTATACTCGCGTACTACTCACGTATACTCGCGGCAAAACCCATCCGTCAACGTCCTTTTGATAGTAGGATAGCGCGAGACTGTCAACGAACAACCGATCATGAGGTCTTACGTTGTCGTCCTTGTAGCCGTGGTACTTGCGTCGAGCGAGCCGATACTCGGTCAAACGGAGGACGGAGGCTCGAATTTCAGGTGTCCCGAGCCCAAGGGCTTCTTCCCCGATCCCGAGCAGTGCGACGTTTATTACGCCTGCTTCGACAACGTGGCCGAGGAGAGGCTCTGCAAGGACGGTCTCCTGTTCAGGGACGACAATCCGAAGAAGGAGCTCTGCGACATACCGGCCAATGTACAATGTGGCGAGAGAACCGCCCTGCGTGAGTACACACTATTCCTTTTTTTTTTTTTTTTTTTTTTTTTTTTTTTTTAATTATTATACGTTGTGCATTATCTCATTTTTTTTTTTATTTACCATACATGCTTCTTTTTGGTTTATTCCTACGTCATTTAATTGTTCCAAGAGCTGCAGAGATGCATTCGTTGCTTCATTTATTTACGTTTTATATATATATATGTATTTTTTTTTTTTTTTTCTACAAATGCTACATTTGCCCTTAAACCTTTAGCTTTAATTTAAAATTTCTATGGAAGCACCTTGCATTCATCTTGATGGCGCGGTTACCGATACATACCTGTATACGCGCGTTACGTCAGACATTATGGAAGATGATTTGCCCGAGAGAAAGATGCATTGTAATAAATATACTTTTACGGGACAACTCGGGAGCGACGAGCCGATTGCGAGAGAGCCCGCGAGTTGCGGGAGGGAGAGAGAGTATTACATATAGGTTCGAGTTTTGCGAAATCGCTGGATTGAATCTCTCCCTTACGGCGCTCGCCAAGCAACTATGATTGAATGGAAAATTTATTCCGGGTTTGGGTTGTTTGGTTTCTCTTTGTTTTTTTATTTGTTTTTTTCACAGCGCTGACATTAGAAATTTGGTCGATTTTTTTTTTTTTTTTTTTTCGTATCGCGAGTGAAAGCATTTTCCATCGTTTACCAACACGCGCGTAAAAACTCGAGTCGACCGACAGAGAAACCTATGGATTCTTCCGAATGATTTTTAAAACAAAAAAAAATTCAATTAAATCTAACCCAGCATCCGTGTACACAGCACATCGAATAAAAGAGAGAGAGAGAGAGAGTTTCCAATTGCATAAATCAAGCAGGTAAACGCACGTGGGCTCGATTGCACGTGAACGCCGTGAATTATAAAATCAAAGTCACTTGGCTCTATGTCTCATGAAATTTTACCAGAACCAAGGAGTTGTATACCGCCCATTAAAAACCCCAAATCGTGCATACATTCGTCCGAGGGAAGCCACACTTTCTCGCCGGCCGTTTCGGTGAGACGCGCGTTCGAGTCGAATTTTTTGTCTTTCTTTCTTTTTCATGAGAACCGGTCCTGCGTCAAGGTTCCTCCCGTTGAAAATCGCCGAGCTCTCTTTCTTCATCCTTGAGCGGCTCCCTTTTTTTTTTTTTTTTTCCTTGGCTCAAAAATCTGTATATAAGTATCGTGAAATGGTTGAAGAAAATTCGGCGTGTTACAGAGGAGCCCCACCCGTCCAAAGGATGTCCACGCGCCAATGGTTACTTCAAACACGAGGACCCGGACGCGTGCGACAAGTTCGTCAACTGCATAGACGGCGTGGCTCAGGTGAAAAAAAAAAAAAAAAGTCTAGCGCAACCTCCTGGAAGCGTGGAAAACTAAAGGAAGGGGAAAAAAAAAAAACAAATTGCAGGCGATGTCGTGCCCACCCGGACTGGTGTACGAGGAGAAGATGTCGAGCTGCGTGTGGCTGACCGACGCGTCACGGCCCTGTCTCGAGGCGAAGCGCGAAGTCCTCGATGACGGCTTCAGCTGCCCGATCGGCGACGCCGTGGGTCCCCAGGGACGCATCTTGCCCCACCCGACTTACCCGCACGCCGATGACTGCGCCAAATTCTACATCTGCCGGAACGGCATCGTGCCCCAAAAGGGCCAGTGCGAGGAGGGACTCGTTTACAACGAGGAGAACTTTTCGTGCACCGAGCCCGAACTTGTCCCTGGCTGGTAAGCGACAACTTACTTCCTTCTCCTTATACATTTTTTTTTATTCACTCCTGAAGAAACGTTTAAAAAATATATGAATACATCGTCATTCAAGCGCATCCATCATAGTTTATAACTACAATACGAGTATAGTTCACGTGGCGTGGAAATATTAATTGAAACAACGACTGAGAATTAATTTTATTACGTATACTGCATCGACAATTAAAACATGAAGATACAATTTTTTTATTTTTTTTTTTTTTTATCGCGTATTAATAATTAAAAAATTTCAGTATTACAAAAAAGAGGGGGAAAACTGTGCCGGATGAATTACTAGAATTTTACGTATAAATACTAACTTGAGACAACGCGTTGCGTCAAAAACAATTGTTTGACAATTTCAAGTAAATTATAACCGAATAGGATCCAAGTTACTGGCACATTAATAATAAAAAAAAAAAAAGTAGCCCGTTTGAAAAGAACTTATTCTTTTTCGATGGATCGTATGGAAAAGAGTTGAAAAATGCTTTTTACTTACCATTTATCACATCACGTAACATTCCTAAATTGAACAAATATGAGACAAATACACATAAAAGTATATACACATGCATGCATTCCAAGAGAGATGATGAATACGTAAATTATGCACTGAGCAGCTGTTACCCTTGTTAAAATTTCAGATAAGTAAATCATGAACGATAACATCACTAAAAGTCATAATCTTTTGACATTGACAACTCAAAAAAATATGACTAAGCTTCTTTTTCCTTGGTTACACAATTTATCATTTTCATTTTCTTTTTTTTAAATTATTTTCTTATATTATTGTATGTAATGTAATAAGCCTCGACTCTTGAACTAATAATTTATTCATTTATTTCAGTGAGGACTACTACAAAACCAAGAGTAACTAAAGGAGGCGACAAAAGTTCATCCGCAGAGAGGAAAGCGGACGACGTTTACATACATACATTTACATCGCCGAACCGCTATTGAGAATATTACAAGTATTTTTTATTTTTTTTATTTTTTATTTCACGTGTGCGGCCGATGAGTGCAACGTCACATCGTAAACTATGGTATATTTTACTTTCACTCTTACTCTCGTCAAGTTATGAAAGATGATATGCTGTCACTTAATTCCTATTCGACTAGATTTATTAACGATCATCATACGTACATGTTGTACCCGCGAGCTGTATTAAAAGGTTTTCTTATTCTTTGATCGAGAAAAAAAAAAAAAAAAAATT